CTGTTTCTGGCCTCATCATAGGAGTTGGGTTCTTTGCTAGCAGTTATGGCAAGAGTGTACCTTAAATGTTTATCAGACAGAGATTCATAAGATAAAGTATTAGTGATAGGGTAAGGAGTTCTCAAACCATTCTTGACACACAAAGATGCAGATGATGACTGATATATTTGATGCATGTAATCTTTTAAGTACTCAGGAGTTTTCTTCACTCTGTTTGACCTCCTCTGATTGTTTCTTTGTTCCTCTTCCACAAGATTAGTGTTCTCAGCACTGGTATCAGTGTTGCCAGCAGGACTTTGATTATCTCTTCCATCCTCGGCTAAAACCTCCTCATAACTGCAAGGTGGATTATCAAGAAAAAATGTGTTGTCTTCATTGTTATTGTAGTTTTTTTTATTTCCTTGTTCATTCTTATAGGGAAAGATATCTTCATAAAAGATGTCATTTCTACTAATGAAAATTTCCCTAGTGTTGATGTCAAGAACAATGTATCATTTTACTCCACTCTTGTACCCTAGAAATATTTCCTTTCTAGCTCTAGAATCTAGTTTATTTCTGTTACTTTCCAAAGTGGAAGCAAAACACAAGCATCCAAAAACTTTTAGGTCAAGATAGGTGGGGGGATTATTATGCAACACATCATAAGGGGTTTTATCCTTAATAACAGGGGAAGGTAGCCTATTAATCAAGTATATAGCATGAGATAGGGCATAAGATCAATAATCATAAGGAACATTAGATTGGAAAACCAAGCTACGGGTAACATTCAATATGTGTTGATGTTTGCGCTTCACAACAAAATTTTGTTGTGGAGTTTCAACACAGCTAGTTTGATGTTCAATTCCATAAGAATTGTATATGCTAGAACAATTAAATTCAAGACCATTGTCAGTCCTAATGGTTTTAACAATTTTATTAAACTAGGTTTTGAGTTTCATAATAAAAGATTGCAGAAGTTTTCTAGTTTGGCTTTTATTATGCATTAGAAAGGCCCAAGTATGCCTACTACAATCTTCAATAATAGTGAGAAAGTATTTATGCCCATGTACAGATGGGATGGAGATAAAACCCCATATGTCACAATGTATAATACCAAAACAATTAGCAGACAAAGAATTATTTTTAGGAAAAGGCAATTTGTGTTGCTTTGCATAATGGCAGATATCACAAGCACTATTAGAAACGGTTTGAATATAAGGAAAAATTTTGCACATTCTTTCAACAATTTTATGTCCAGGGTGGCCTAGCCTATAATGCAACAGATTTATATTTACATGGTCATAAGAGAAAACAAAACTAGGTGTCAGGTCCCTTCCAACAGACTGCAAGTAGTAGAGCCCTTTATACACATTACCACATCCAATCATCCTTAATGTAGAATTATCCTGGATTTTACACATCTTAGAGGAAAAAGTTAGTGTGCAGTTTATATCTCTAGTTAAACTTTGAACAGATATAAGATTGAAAGTAAAATCGGGTATGTATAAAACATTAAAAATAATGAAATCTTTGGAAAACTGTATAGTTCCTACATAGTGGGTTGTAACAATGGAGTTGTTTGGCAATTTAACAGATATATGTTTGATTTTATTGAATGTTAGGAATATATTTTTGTCATGGGTCACACGGTCAATGGCCCCTGTGTCTATAATCCATGAGAACATACCTTGTCTGTCTTATATAGTGTCTTTGTGCATTTGACTGATGTTATAGGAAGAGTTGTTAGTCTTTTCAAACATTTCTAGTATTTTCTGCATTTGTTCTGGGATGAAGGAGTTTTGGACAGTGTTGGCATTGTTCTGTTGACTAGTCTATGATACAATAGAGGTAGTGCAGGCATTTGTAGATCCCCATTCATTCTGTCCCACACTGTTTTGATTGTTACTGTCGTTTTTTCTTGTATCATGGTGGATATCCATGTTTAGAGTAGCATTCATCAACCGTGTGATTCATTTTGTGACAGTAGGAACATTGCTTCCCATGATTGGCATTTCTTCCTTTCCCTCTTCCTTGACCACGAGATGTGAATCCACGTCCATGGGTTTTCCAACCCCGGTCACTCCTCTAGTGACTCTGTTTTTCAGTGGTGTTTGCAAGGATCTTGATGTCATTCTGGTTTGTGAGACCAGAATCATGTTTCTCCTATCTTTCCTGCTGTATAATGAGGGAAAATACACGGTTAATGCTGGGTAGAGGTTCCATCAACAATATATGTGTTCTCACAGTGTTGTAACATTCATTTAGGCCTTTTAGGAAGCAGATGACATGCTCCATTTCTCTGTATTTATGAGAGGCTTTAGATAGATCATAGCTGCAAGGAATCTTGCAGCTACAACGCGGGATGGGTATGAGAAATTTCAATTCCTCCCATAGAATCTTCAAATCAGTAAAATATTGACTCACACTCCTTTCTCATTGCTTAATAGAATGAATTTCTTGTAGCAAGTCAGAAAATTTGAAGTAATCTCCTTTGGAAAATCTTTTCTTCAATTCTTCCCATAATTATTGAGCATCCTCTACATATAAACGCTTTCTGCTATCTGGGATGAAAAAGTCTTGATGATCCAAGACAACAGCATCATATTACTTCTCTCCCAAGAATAAAAAAGGGGATCATCTCTTTGAGGTTTCTTGATCCCTCCATCTATGAATTTTAACTTGTTCTTGGAGAGAATAGCTCTTCCCATATTTCTGCTCCAAAAGGTGTAATTGGATTCATCAAGAATCTGAGAAATAAGGGAGATGTCCGGGTTCTCTTCTAGATGAAGATAATAAGGGCTGGAAGGATTGTTGAATTGATCCATGTTTTCCATGACAGTAAGAACATCTAAGGAAAATAAAAAGCACCAAGAAATCAAGAAAGAAAATGGACGCAGCAGAAACAGAGGCAGAATAGGTTCAGATCCTGCTCTGGTACCCTATTAAAATAAGCCCAAGTCAGTGTGAGTGAGGCCCAATGGTTTCTGGCCCAGAAGCGAAAAGTAATACTTTCGCTAGAAGCTTCATTTCGTCAAATGGTTGGTGAGATTGAAAGCTATGAGTCATGCAAGAGAAAGAAGACGTTGACGATCTCCATGGCGGTGCATCAGCAAAGCTTGAAGCAGCGACCACCGGACAAAAAAAAGAAACGAAAAGAAAGAAGATGCTGTAATAGAGGTAAGTAAAATAAAAGATTTCTTTTATTGTATGAGAATGTGTTTTCTAACACTGTTGTTTTCTTACAAAGATAAGAGGTGGAACCCTGATTATATAAGGTTTCAATGAAAGGTAAAAAAGGAAAAATTAGTTAAAATCCGAAAATTAAATTTCTAAAACTAAAAACCCTAAAACATTGAATATTCTCTTAGGAGCATTCATTACAAAACAGAAACATTAATAATATTTATTAATTATTTATCATACAAAAATTCTCACCTAAAGATGTGAAAGAAAGTCTTCTGGTGTCCGTGTATAATGGTTTGGTGTGATAAAGTCTTGGGAAGAATCTGTGCCTAACATTTACTAATGTTACCATAATTTTCATTTTGACAATGAGAGAGACTTCACGCGGTTAGACTATAAAAGTTACATGTTCAAAGCATTAAAGTGTTAAATACTACTTTTATATTATATTGTTCTTCACATTCATTTTTATATTATATTTTAATTAAACAACGTAAACTTAATATTTTGTATTTATTGTATTGTTAACACTTTATTATTAATCTTAATAAAAATATATAAATTAATTAATCATTTTAACAAAAAAATGCTGTTGAAATATCAATTTTATTCATACTTTAAACGGTAAAGTGAACGCTCTAATAAAGATCTGGCCACCTACGGGACAATGTCCAATCAAAATTTGTCAATTATTTTCATAATAATAAATTACTGCTGTTTATAGAAAAGAAAAATAACTATGTATAGAATGACTATTTTAGACTGATTTGAAGTTTGTATTGAGATTTTTAATTAATTAAATTTTAATTAAATTTAAAAATCTTCAATTGAATTTGGGTTAAACTTTTGTATTCTATTGAATACCCTAAAAATATTTAAAAAAAATTTAATTGAATTTTTGTTGTTACATTTTTTTCATTAACATAATTATTTTATTATCCCACTTAAAAGTTGTTAAATATTTTCTTGTAATGATATTTTATTATAAGATTCATTATATTTAATAAATCACAGAAGTTTAACAGGACTTAATTAAAAATTTCTAAATGTATGAAAGTTTAAAAATTAATTAAACCATTAAGAACTTTAATTCAATAGCATATAAAAACTAAATTCATAAGTTTACTAAAATTCACTTTTCAATTTAAAATTAAAATTTAACTCATTTGTGTTTATATTATTTTACGAAACCGGAAAAACTCGACAACATGGCCACAAAAAGTCACCTCCCTTTCCTATTACACAATATTTGTCACTCACTTTAGGGTTAAATCAGATTTTAATAAATCTAAGTTTGTTTAATATATTTTTAGTAGTTTTATATTTAGTATTTAATAAATAAATAAATTTGATTTTGATATATATTTTGTTATTTCTAAAATAATAATATTAAGCTATAATTATCCTATTATAATATTTGGAGGTATGTTTTCACGAAATATTGTAAAAACAACGTGAATAATGTTAATTAAAAACAATATAATACATAATAGGATGAAATTTTCCTATTTATTAAATATTAAAATAAAAAATGGTGAAATTTTGTTTAAAGTATCATTTTCAGATTAATTTGGGAGAAGCATTCATTTTATCAAATTTATAATCATGCCGGCGAATATAAGATTAAGAAATTGCATTTGTCAGTTGTCATTTTGTAATATTAGAAAGTCTTCAGTCCTTTTGATGGTGGTAGGACTTGGAAATTTCAAAGATACTGCTTTCAATTACTTATTGAATTCTATGGTACAAAATAAATTAAGTATTATTAATTATTTTTTTTGTAAATTTAAAATAGGGCAGCTTCTTATATATAGATTAAAGTTTGTGGATGGGTTGCATAAAAAATCCATATTTGATCCGTATGAGATTAATGATGGGTTGGGTTTCAGTGTCATCCTTAATCATCTTCCTCTACTTCCTACTTCATTTTCCTTCCTACAATTGTTTGTTGTGCAATCCTCATGACAAATCTGCATTGTTACAACTCAAAAACTCATTTTTTGCTATCCACTCTTCTCTCGTTTTTCCTTTCTATGATGATCCTTGTTCCTCATATTCTTCAGAGACAGAATCTTGGAAAAACATAACAGATTGTTGTGGGTGGGATGGGATCACGTGCGACACCAAGTCAGGCCATGTGATTGGTCTGCATCTTTATTGCAGTCATCTTAGAGGTGAGTTACTAGGTCTTAATAGTTCCATTTTCAAGCTAAGGCATCTTCAACAACTTAGCCTTACTTTTAATGATTTCTTTGGATCTTCAATACACTCTTCGATCGGTAACCTTATCAACCTCACACATCTAACTTTATCTCCCTTTAGAATTAGTGGTGATCTTCCTTCCACAATCTCTCACTTATCAAAATTAGAACATTTTCGTATCAGTAGCATGGACTCATTACTTGATGATCCCATCAAAAGTTACTCTAAAATTAGAATTGATGATTACACATGGAACAGACTCATTCACAACGCAACTAATTTAAGAGAGATTTATTTAGAAAAAGTGAACATGTCTTCTGTCGGAGAGAGCTCTTTGTCATTGTTAACTAATCTGTCATCTTCTTTAGTTTCTCTCCATCTCCCAAACACCCAAATCCAAGGGAAATTGCCCTCTAACATCCTCCATTTACCCAATCTCCAAGAGATAGATTTGTCACAGAATGAAAACCTCAGAGGTGAACTTCCAACGTCCAACTGGACTACTCCACTACGAGTTTTGTCTCTCTTTGATACTGCTTTCTCAGGATACATTCCTGATTCTATTGCTCACTTGAAGTCTCTTAACTCACTAGGACTTTCGGATTGCAATTTTGATGGATTTCTTTCACCATCATTGTTTAATCTTACTCAACTTTCTTACTTAGATTTATCAGATAATAAATTAGTTGGCCCCATTCCGACCCAAATCACCAAACTCNTGCCCTCTAACATCCTCCATTTACCCAATCTCCAAGAGATAGATTTGTCACAGAATGAAAACCTCAGAGGTGAACTTCCAACGTCCAACTGGACTACTCCACTACGAGTTTTGTCTCTCTTTGATACTGCTTTCTCAGGATACATTCCTGATTCTATTGCTCACTTGAAGTCTCTTAACTCACTAGGACTTTCGGATTGCAATTTTGATGGATTTCTTTCACCATCATTGTTTAATCTTACTCAACTTTCTTACTTAGATTTATCAGATAATAAATTAGTTGGCCCCATTCCGACCCAAATCACCAAACTCTCTCAATTATCGATCCTATATTTGAGTGGTAACATGTTAAACGGACAAATTCCTCGTGGGTGTTATTCTTTGCCTTCTTTGTTTGTCTTGGATCTTAGTAGCAATCAACTCACAGGGTCAATTGGTGAGTTCTCAACAACTTCTTTAGAATCTTTGTCTCTCTCTGATAACAAACTGCAAGGTAATTTTCCAAATTCAATATTTCAACTCCAAAATCTTATTTTTTTGTATTTGTCATCAAATGGTTTTAGTGGTGTCGTGGACTTTCATCAATTTTCAAAGCTTAAAACTCTCTTTTATTTGGATCTTTCTCACAATAGTTTGCTCTCACTAAAATTTGAAAATAATTTTGATTGTATCTTACCCAACCTTCAATACTTATATTTATCTTCAAGTAACGTAAGTAGTTTCCCAAAATTCATAGTACCAAACCTGGAAGCTTTAGATCTTTCTCATAACAGAATTCGTGGAAGCATTCCCAAATGGTTTCATGAGAACCTCTTGCGCTCTTGGAAGAACATTAGTTACATTGATCTAAGTTTCAACAAGTTGCGAGGAGATCTTCCGATTCCACCTAATGGCATTGAATTCTTTTCAGTCTCAAATAATGAGCTGAGTGGGGACATTTCTTTAGCAATGTGCAATGCAAGCACCCTTTCTATACTCAACTTGGCTCACAACAACTTGACAGGACTTGTTCCACAATGCTGGGGAACATTTCCTTCTCTTAGGGCGCTGGATTTGCAAGACAACAACCTTTACGGAAGCATACCTGATAACTTTTCTAAAGGAAATGCCTTTGAGACTCTAAAGTTGAATGGAAATCAGTTGAAGGGACCATTACCACGAGCTTTGGCTCATTGCACAAAACTCGAAGTTTTGGATGTTGGAAATAATAACATAGAGGATACGTTCCCCTATTGGTTAGAAACTTTGCCAAATTTACAGGTACTCAGTTTACGGTCAAATAAATTCCATGGTGTCATCGCTTCTTTCGGCATCAAACCTCCATTTCCTAGTTTGAAGATTTTTGATATATCTGATAACTATTTTACCGGACCCTTGCCAGTGTCATACATCCACAACTTTCAAGGAATGATGAATGCGAATGACAATCAAACCGGTTTGAAATATTTGGGTAATGATAGTGCATATAATGATTCGATAGTGATTGTGATGAAAGGGCTATACATGGAACTCACGAGGATACTGACTGTTTTCACAAGCATTGATTTATCAAATAATATGTTTGAAGGAGAAATTCCAACAGTCATTGGAGAGTTGCATTCTCTGAAAGGGCTTAACCTTTCACACAATAGAATCACTGGTACCATTCCACTATCATTGGGTAATTTAAGCAATTTGTATTGGTTGGACCTCTCATGGAACCAGTTGAAGGGTGAGATTCCTATGGCTTTGACAAATTTGAATTTTCTGGCAGTCTTGAACCTTTCACAAAACCAGTTTGAGGGAATGATACCTAAAGGTGGACAGTTTAACACATTTGAAAACGATTCCTATGTTGGAAATGGAATGTTGTGTGGAATCCCTTTATCAAAATCCTGCAAAGAGGATAAAGAAAAGTCATCATATTCAACACTTGATAAAGAAGAATCTGGATTTGGGTGGAAATCCGTTGTAGTGGGATATGCATGTGGGATGATCTTTGGAATAATATTGGGTTGTAATGTATTCTTCTTTGGAAAACCCCAATTACTTGCCAGAGTTGTTGAAAGAGGTTTAAATGTGAGACTGATTAGACCAATTGGCAGAAAGCCTACAAATTGTTGGAAAAGGATTTGTTTAACAACTTTTTTTTAACATTGTTTTAACACGATTTGAAAACATGGACATGGTGATGACTTCAAGGTTTGACGCGTTGCAATCGCGAGTTGGGAACATTGAAGAACAACTGCAGCACATGCAAACAGGCTTTCATAACAAACGTTGAAGTTATAAATGCTTGTTTAGGCTTTATTTTGTTCATTACAATCAACCATGTATTACAGTTCCTATTTCCATAATTTAAGGTATTTATTTAATGAAGTGCTTTAATGTGATCGTACTTCCTGAATTTTCATCATTTAACATGTAATGTTTTATTTATCATAAACTAAATAGAACCGGACTTCTGCCTGAAACACCTCCCACCCTCTACCACTACTGAAACACCAAAAGAAACAAAACAGAAGCGAACTTGTGCTTGAAACTAACAGTTTTTGCCAACGATCACCCAGGTCACCACAGCGGACTACTTCAGTTCAGCTTTTTGTACAAAACACTCATTTCTCTCGCGTAATAATTTACCAGACCCCCGTAAATGATTACAACAGTGTTTTTCTAGGTGATCAACCCAAAACTTGTCCAAGTTGGTCACCTCTGTAAGAATGGCTTGTTCCCCACTTCTTGGGGTCACCAAACATCACCCCCCACCCTCTACCACCACTGAAACACCAAAACAAACTAAATAGACCTGAAATTGTGCCTCAAACTAACACTTTTTGCCAATGATCACCCAGGTCACCACAGCTGACTACTTCAGTTCAGCTTTATGTACAAAAAACTGATTTCTCTCGCGTAATCGTTTACCAGGCCCCCGTAAACGATTACCACAGTGTTTTTTCAGGTGATCAACCCAAAACTTGTCCAAGTTGGTCACCTCTGTAAGAATGTCTTGTTCCCCACTTCTTGGGGGCACCAAACATCACCCACCACCCTCTAGCACCACTGAAACACCAAAAGAAACTAAATAGAACTGAAATTGTGCCTCAAACTAACACTTTTTGCCAATGATCATTCAGGTCACCACAGCTGACTACTTCAGCAGAGCTTTCTGTACAAAACACTAATTTCTCTCGTGTAATCGTTTACCAGAACCCCGTAAACGATTACCACAGTGTTTTTCATGGAGATCAACCCAAAACTTGTCCACAACTTAAATTCACTTCTAAAACCATTGCCTACATTTGAAATACTTATTAATATTCTGCATTCTTTTTTTCAATATAACACCTTTATTCATTATAACACAGACAACGTAAAAAAAATTAAATTGAAAATGAAACCAATCATCTTATTCCAAAAACAATGTCTACATAGTCAAATTACAATATGTACATATATAAACATTGTGCGTTACAATCAAAAAATTCCATATTCCGCTAGCGCTTCCATTCTTCTAATGTTGTCATTGTCCAGGATCCATTCACATACATATTTCTTTCTAATCCCAAACAACTCCTCCTGAAACCAACATTTTGCACATTACAAACCAACTTAATAAACAATTTTAACAAACACTCAAAATGTTACTTACATTTGTATATTGAGGCATGCTTTTCCCGTTGTATTTTTCCTCTTCATCCCAAATGTCCATTGCTTTCAACATTATCACTCCACAATCATGTCTGAAATAATACACCCACAAAATAAAATCACTTTTCACACCATATATTCATGACAACACCAAATATTAGAACACTACAATTTATACAACTTATAAGTTTGGTTGGGATGAGATATTTGCTTGTTTAACAGACAAAGGGTCAATACTACCTTCCGGTCTATTCAACAAGATGCAAAAAAATCGTTCCATATTTTCAGCCTACCAGTTAACAAATACAATAACATGTTAAATAATATAGGGTTATATGACAATAACAGGGTTATAAAGGCTTAAAGTTGTGGAATCTTACAACAGTTGTGTCAATCCTTTTCCGGTCTCTGATCCCCCTACCCAATGAGTCAATCACAAATATCTCTAATGAACTCAGTTTCACTGAATAGCACCACCAATGATCATCGTGGACAAATGGCATAAACAACTACAAACAAAGAAAACAATATCATAAACACATGAACAAGAAAAACTGGACAAACATCGCACATTAAAGGTTACTCACAAAGTCAACTGTGGCAATGTCTCCAAGTCCAAAATGATCACAACGCAAATAAGTNTAAAGAAGAATCTGGATTTGGGTGGAAATCCGTTGTAGTGGGATATGCATGTGGGATGATCTTTGGAATAATATTGGGTTGTAATGTATTCTTCTTTGGAAAACCCCAATTACTTGCCAGAGTTGTTGAAAGAGGTTTAAATGTGAGACTGATTAGACCAATTGGCAGAAAGCCTACAAATTGTTGGAAAAGGATTTGTTTAACAACTTTTTTTTAACATTGTTTTAACACGATTTGAAAACATGGACATGGTGATGACTTCAAGGTTTGACGCGTTGCAATCGCGAGTTGGGAACATTGAAGAACAACTGCAGCACATGCAAACAGGCTTTCATAACAAACGTTGAAGTTATAAATGCTTGTTTAGGCTTTATTTTGTTCATTACAATCAACCATGTATTACAGTTCCTATTTCCATAATTTAAGGTATTTATTTAATGAAGTGCTTTAATGTGATCGTACTTCCTGAATTTTCATCATTTAACATGTAATGTTTTATTTATCATAAACTAAATAGAACCGGACTTCTGCCTGAAACACCTCCCACCCTCTACCACTACTGAAACACCAAAAGAAACAAAACAGAAGCGAACTTGTGCTTGAAACTAACAGTTTTTGCCAACGATCACCCAGGTCACCACAGCGGACTACTTCAGTTCAGCTTTTTGTACAAAACACTCATTTCTCTCGCGTAATAATTTACCAGACCCCCGTAAATGATTACAACAGTGTTTTTCTAGGTGATCAACCCAAAACTTGTCCAAGTTGGTCACCTCTGTAAGAATGGCTTGTTCCCCACTTCTTGGGGTCACCAAACATCACCCCCCACCCTCTACCACCACTGAAACACCAAAACAAACTAAATAGACCTGAAATTGTGCCTCAAACTAACACTTTTTGCCAATGATCACCCAGGTCACCACAGCTGACTACTTCAGTTCAGCTTTATGTACAAAAAACTGATTTCTCTCGCGTAATCGTTTACCAGGCCCCCGTAAACGATTACCACAGTGTTTTTTCAGGTGATCAACCCAAAACTTGTCCAAGTTGGTCACCTCAGTAAGAATGACTTGTTCCCCACTTCTTGGGGGCACCAAACATCACCCACCACCCTCTAGCACCACTGAAACACCAAAAGAAACTAAATAGAACTGAAATTGTGCCTCAAACTAACACTTTTTGCCAATGATCATCCAGGTCACCACAGCTGACTACTTCAGCAGAGCTTTCTGTACAAAACACTAATTTCTCTCGTGTAATCGTTTACCAGAACCCCGTAAACGATTACCACAGTGTTTTTCATGGAGATCAACCCAAAACTTGTCCACAACTTAAATTCACTTCTAAAACCATTGCCTACATTTGAAATACTTATTAATATTCTGCATTCTTTTTTTCAATATAACACCTTTATTCATTATAACACAGACAACGTAAAAAAAATTAAATTGAAAATGAAACCAATCATCTTATTCCAAAAACAATGTCTACATAGTCAAATTACAATATGTACATATATAAACATTGTGCGTTACAATCAAAAAATTCCATATTCCGCTAGCGCTTCCATTCTTCTAATGTTGTCATTGTCCAGGATCCATTCACATACATATTTCTTTCTAATCCCAAACAACTCCTCCTGAAACCAACATTTTGCACATTACAAACCAACTTAATAAACAATTTTAACAAACACTCAAAATGTTACTTACATTTGTATATTGAGGCATGCTTTTCCCGTTGTATTTTTCCTCTTCATCCCAAATGTCCATTGCTTTCAACATTATCACTCCACAATCATGTCTGAAATAATACACCCACAAAAGAAAATCACTTTTCACACCATATATTCATGACAACACCAAATATTAGAACACTACAATTTATACAACTTATAAGTTTGGTTGGGATGAGATATTTGCTTGTTTAACAGACAAAGGGTCAATACTACCTTCCGGTCTATTCAACAAGATGCAAAAAAATCGTTCCATATTTTCAGCCTACCAGTTAACAAATACAATAACATGTTAAATAATATAGGGTTATATGACAATAACAGGGTTATAAAGGCTTAAAGTTGTGGAATCTTACAACAGTTGTGTCAATCCTTTTCCGGTCTCTGATCCCCCTACCCAATGAGTCAATCACAAATATCTCTAATGAACTCAGTTTCACTGAATAGCACCACCAATGATCATCGTGGACAAATGGCATAAACAACTACAAACAAAGAAAACAATATCATAAACACATGAACAAGAAAAACTGGACAAACATCGCACATTAAAGGTTACTCACAAAGTCAGTTGTGGCAATGTCTCCAAGTCCAAAATGATCACAACGCAAATAAGTTGTGTAGTTATGAAGCGTAAAAACATGACGATTCTGTGGACGTCTCCTATAATCAGTAATAATATGGTGTTGTGGACAATTTCGAATTCATCAATCCAAAATCACTTACACATAATTTCTACAATCAAATATATGATATGATATGAAATTATATTTACCGAGTATAATGGACTAAAAATGAATCCTCTTAACAACACCGGACAACCTTTTCTCAAAGTACATAAATATCGTACAAGTAAATAACACCACCTACACAATCAAAATTTAACAAATTATTAACATAAACTACAACATTAAACACAAACCAATGTCACATAATACTTACCATGTTATCAACATATTTGATTGGCGCTAAAGTGTAAAATGAAGTGGTGCACATTGTCTGCCCAATTATCTCGCATACAACCCTAAACATAGAAATATTAGTCCATCACAAACAAAAAAGTTTCGCCAACCACAAATACAATTCACAACAATTACCTGTATACATTGGTGTCTCTTACGCTGACTGC